ATACCTCTTCCCCCCAAATTTTTTGGATTTTTCCATAAAAACCCTGCCAGTAAGACCAAAAAATGGCGATCGGTTTGAAATACCAAACTATGCAGAGGGAAAAATGGTGTTCTTCTGCTACAGAGTAGTTAATAAGTGTTATTTAGTCCCTTTATAAAAAACAGGGAGACCTCTATTATATTTATTTAAACATTCCATTAGATAAAACTAACATTAAAAGTAATATGTCCACACAACCCTGATGATAAGAATATCTGAAAATGTCTGTTAAGGATGGGGTTAATAAACCAGGACCAGTGTAGCAATTAAGTTGAAAGAGGAGTAACTGCACATTTTACAATTAATTCTAATCACATAATTACCTGCTGAATGTTAACTGAACGTGATACCCAAGGCTTTCCTGCCCAGTATACGAGAAAGGCTAGACCTTTCATCTGTGCAGTCCCGGCTCTAAAATTAGAATTTTTTATCCGTCATATTGCAAAGTTTGTAACAGTTCCAAAAATGATTCTGGACAAGTCATAATTGGTCAGCCCACTAACCTTCCAATCAAAGGTAGCCCTTTGACAAAACAAGAGCATACAAGTTGAACATATTTCATTTCAAAAGGGTAAAAATGAAAAAATACACAAACATTGCTTATAGATGTCTTTAATAATTATTATTTTCAGCATTAACAGTTATTATTTACATGTCAAAATATGTATTTAATACACAATGCTGTATGTATATTGCACCTTTATAGTGATGCAACAACACAAACTATTTACAACAATGTTTTTTTGTAAAATAACAAAGCCAATTTAGCACATACCTCCCTAAGAAAAGCATTTTTTTTTGTTTTGCTTCACACAGCAACTTTAAACTGAAAACTAGCCATGATCCCTTTACACTTTAACTGAATAAATCACAGAAAAAAACCCATAAAAAACCCCCAAAAAGCAATTACAAAAATAACAAAACTCTTCCTTTTAAAAGTAAAGCATAAACACTCTTCTTTTTGGAGGTAATGCAAAAACACTCTTTTTTTAAGAGGTAAAGCAAAATTTTCTTCTTTTCTGAAATATTTTTCAATCATTTAAATTATTAAACAAGATCATCATGCCAAACAATTCATGCTTTAACAAAAGATACCACGGAAGCTGGTATACCATGCCTATTTAGCGGGAAGTTGGTTTGGTACAAGGCTGAATACTAACAGACTAATCTAGAACATACTAGAGTAATTGATCAATTAAAAAGAAAGCTAAAAGAAAGCACAAATAAGTTCAATTTCAAAGGCAAGGATATATATAAATTATATTGGCACTTTTAACTTTAGAGAAATAAGACCAAAATTATGCATGTGAACTGTTGGTAAAAACAGTCTTCTGATAAGTATTTTCTCTGTGTAAATTCAGCAGTTATTGAATTATGAATGCCCATTCACATAAGTTTTTTTTCAACTACGAATAGACTGTCCCAATTGTATGAAGAACAAGTCCATTTCATGAATTCAGAATGTTAATGTTGAAAGCGAGACAGTTCTAGAAACTTTTGATTTACTGCAAGGTGCTGGCAGATTCCCGATATCCTTCTGTAAAGTTAAGCTAAACATTTAAAGCAGCACGCCTTCAGATTCATGTTAATTTTCATGAAAATTTTGGAAATGTATTTTAAAAGTAAATAAAATATTGTGAGGTGAACAAATAAAAGTAATTTACATATTGCAATGGGTACTTAAATCCAAGAAAAATACCAAAAAGTGGTCAGCATATGCAAAACAGCCCTTAGTGCGTTAGTAACACAGTAGAAATATGTGATAAAATACTTCAAAATCAGTCTTAAACCACACATAACAAATTTAACTTGGATCTTGAATGTTTTTACCTTTCTTAAAATGTTAGTACATTTTTCTCAATATTAATTTTCTTGAAATATTTTGGCTCATCTGGAGGCATGCAGTTTTAAAGAACACCCTAGTATTGAAATAATCTGTATCGGTTTATTGCAATTATGGTAAATAAACAATAATAAGAAGTTGAAAGATAAAAAAATGAACTTAAAGACAAAATGTTCATAACAGTTTTCTGAGCAAATTTGTTATAATTGGAGAGATGTATTCATGTAGACATCTCAAATTACCCTTTCACAGCCACTTCACTCCATACTAAAAGTTCACATCTGCTACTGGCATAAGAGAATGAAGGAATTGCAAAAAATATTAAATGCAAGCTATATTTATTTTAGACACTTCTTTAGGTGGGCAATTCCTTTTTATAACTATACTGAATATTATTTGCCCCTTTAATTATATATTAATATCAAAGAATGAGCCAAGAACATTTCTCTCTCTTCACAATATAAAATTGAAACAATCATGAACTGTAAGTAAAATTAATGGCAGAAAGGGCCAAACACAACATAAGATACACCTGTATCCTTACAAATATAATAGTACATGATTTACAGACATACAAGAATCATCCAATTATCTTCACATGAAAAGACTAAATAAATTGTTCCTAAAAATAAGTATAAAAAAATAATACAAAAACAAGAGGGCCATGATGGCCCTAGATCGCTCACCTGAATTATCAAACTCATCCAAACAATTACCTAGACAAGCATTCTGACCAAGTCTCATGACAGGTGAGTCAAAAATGTGACCACTACAGTGTTAACAAGGATTATCCATATTTGAGCAGTGCGACCTAGTTTTTTACCCAGGTGACACATATTCAAACTTGACCTAGAAATCATCAAAACAAACTTTCAGACCAATTTCCAGGATACTTGGATCAAAACAGTAGCAACTAGAGTGTTAACAAGATTTTTCTATTTTTAGCTCCGGTGACCTAGTTTCACATGCGATTTCGAACTCATCCAAGCAATTACCTAGACAAGCATTCTGACCAAGTTTGATGATAATGGAGTCGAAAATGTGACCACTAGAATGTTAACAAGGTTTTTCCATATTTGGGCGGTGTGACCTAGTTTTTCATCCAAGATGACCCATGTTTTATCTTGACTTAGAAAACATCAAAACAAACTTTCAGACCAATTAACAGAATATTTGGATCACAACAGTAGCCACTAGAGTGTTAACAAGATTTTTCTATTTTTAGCTCCTGTGACCTAGTTTTTCATCCGAGGTGTCCCATGTTCGATTTATTCCCAGCAATGACCTAGACAAGTTTCCTGACCAAGTGTGATGACAATTGAGTCAAAATTGTGACCACTAGAGTGTTAACAAGGTTTTTCTATTTTTAGCTCTTGTGACCTAGTTTTTCATCCGAGATGACCCATGTTCGAACTCATCCGAGTTATTACCTAGACAAGCATCTTGATCAAGTTTGATGATGATTGATGCAAAAATGTGACCGCTAAAGTGTTAACAAGGTTTTTCTATTTTTAGCTCCGGTGACCTACTTTTTCATCCGAGATGACCAATGTTCGAACTCATCCAAGCTATCAACTAGATAAGCATCCTGACCAAGTTTGATGATGATTGATGCAAAAATGTGACCGCTAGAGTGTTAACAAGGTTTTTCTATTTATAGCTCCGGTGACCTAGTTTTTCATCCGAGATGACCCATATTCGAACTCATCCGCGCTATTATCTAAACAAGCATCCTGACAAAGTTTGATGATGATTGGGTCAAAAATGTGACCACTAGAGTGGTCACAAGGTTTTTCTATTTTTAGCTCCTGTGACCTAGTTTTTCATCAGAGATGACCCATGTTCGAACTCATCCAAGCAATTGACTAGACAAGCATTCTGACCAAGTTTGATGATGATTGGTTCAAAAATGTGACCACTAGAGTGTTCACAAGGTTTTTCTATTTATAGCTCCTGTGACCTACTTTTTCATCCGAGATGACCCATGTTCGAACTCATCCGAGCTATCACCTAGACAAACATCCTGACCAAGTTTGATGAAGATTGGGTCAAAAATGTGACCTCTAGAGTGTTCACAAGGTTTTTCTATTTTTAGCTCTTGTGACCTAGTTTTTCATCTGAGATGACCCATGTTCGAACTCATCCGAGCTTTCAACTAGATAAGCATCCTGACCAAGTTTGGTGATGATTGAGGCAAAAATGCGACCGCTAGAGTGTTCACAAGCAATTGTGGACGGCCGGACGGACGACGGACATTCATCGATCCTAAAAGCTCACCCTGAGCAAGCTCAGGTGAGCTAAAAAAAAGTCAATTTTTATGTCCAGTTTAGAAATGTTACTTTTTACAAAAGAATTATAAACAAAATGATTATCAATATCAATGAAAAAAAATATAATCCTTAATATTGAATAATTAAAAAAATGTAGCATGATAATTATATGACAATAAACAATATAACAAAACATAAAACATTAACAAAGCAATTCTAATGGAATGAAAAATGTTATAGTAAAAACTTTGACAAGTTGCTCGCCATGTGATTGTAATACAAACAAAAATCTACAGCTTAACAAATTCTAATTCCTCACCTCCAGATGAAAGCAATAAAAATCAAATTTTTCAATGAGTTTAAGACCTGTTTCACAGTCCATATAGGGCTTTTACATTTAGACTTATAAAAAAACCTGTATTAAGCCAATTTTTTTTTATAGTTTTCTGCAGACAAAGCTGGCCTTTGCCATTAAAACAAACTCAGAATTCAGAAATAATCTCAAAAATCTTTTATCTGTGCATGTTGCATACATAATATGAAAAAAGTTACAATTTTTATGCCCAACTCTGCTAGCCAAGTTAACTGAGCACCGGCTTAATAATTTGACATATTTTAAAAAAATAATTTATTTGAACTGCTTGCTTAACAAAATTTCATTTCATATTTCTTTTACAATTTCTTAATTTTCATACATTCAAGTTTATTTAGAGAAGCTCCATTGAGGTCAAAAAGCCTACGAACATAACATATAATTTGCTTTATATATAGTGACTTGGGCACTGAGAACCAAAAGAAGTATTCAAATATAATACAGAAATATACTATTACTCAATTAAATAAAATCATTTTTGTGCAATTCTCAGTCCCAAGTAAAAGGCATTTAAACACTTTTTATTTTCCTATCATTTCTCACAAATAAAATGATTATTTTGGAGAATGATCTGAAATTCTGCATGTCCAGACCCTTTATCAAATGATATACACATCTTGAAAAAAAAAATTCCATTCATATCATAAAACTTCACTGGAGTCCCTTTACTTTAGCAAGAATCTGGAGGCATAGTGCTTTAAAGGAAACTTAAAGAACTAGTTTATATCAAAAATAATTTGCAACCTTCATAATTCAATATAAAATCAACAACCTTATTAAACAGTGCTATATCAGGTTCATTTAAACATTTATCGACAGTTTCCAAAACAAAATAAACAAAACAAAATGTATAAAACTGGAAACAATGCCTTCACAAAACATGTTCTAAAACAACAAAATTAGTTTTATAAAAGAAATATGGTGTTTTTTTAGGAAATTTCAAAAATTGACCTCAAAAGGTCAAGGTCAGTTAAAGGTCATTCATGTCATAACAGGTATATTTTGTTTGAATTTAAATGCTATAGGTAACAGTAAAGAGACATAGGTTTTAGGTGTATGCAGACGGCCAATCATACAGGAAAAAATATATACATGTATGAGATCTGATCTATTGATCAATGCAGTGGCAAAGCCTTGTTACTTTGATACAATGGCCTACTAATCTCATTTACGTTAAGTAAACAGTCAGGAATAAGCTAAAATAAACCTCATCAAAATAGCCATAGCACTCAGAACTTTTAAACTCGACTTACAACAAAATGCTAGTATCCATCAAATTTTATTTACAATAAATAATCAAATAAAAATTAGATAAAGCACTTGAAATCTAACAAATATTTACATCACATACAAAGTACAATTTCCTTTTTCCAATAACAATGTACATAACTTTTTTTTATAGACTTACAAAACTTGTAATATTTTAGGTTGAGTAATAAATTACTATATACAGAACAACAAATAAATTTCTGCCATCTTTCCTAATATGTCTTGAAACAATTAGAATTTCAGATATTCTGATAAAAATGCTCCCTGACACAGCTTTGACTAAGTTAAAAACACATCGCTTAACTATAAAGAAAATCATAGTATTCTAAGTCTTCATGACCTTTACCCTATTAGCCTTTAACCTCACTTGATGGTACGGGGTCCATGCAAGTTATCTTTATACCATATACCAATAAACAATGCCACTATCGGAATAGAAAGTTAGGGTGACAACTTGAACGGACAAACTGCATATACCGAAATAAAATAACACATTGTCCCTACTGAAATGTAAGTGTGGGTTAATAACTTAACTTAGCACATTATCTTCTTATTTACAAAACAAAATCTGTCTTCGAGTATATTAAGGTTTATTAGTTATCACCTTCAACCTTATTAGGAGCCTTTTGGAAAGAATTTGAACAATCTAAATAAGAATTTCAGAAATCTTAATGAATTACTGATCTTGTGCAGGTAAATAGTATACCTTTCACCCTTAACAAGCTGGAACCAAAACTGACTTAGCCTTTGCCGGGCTCTATACTGTTGGTAGCTCAATTTTTGTATTTTTTTTTTAATATCAAAAGCCCTTAAACAAGAAATAGACTGTTCCAATTTAATAACTGGGCATATTCATTGCTCAAACTCAGGTAAAACACCATCCAAAGAATCAACCGCCTCCTTAACAAAATGATGAAAATGAAAAACAATAAAGATACATGTACAATTATAAGATGCGAAAAAAAACTATATATGTCAAATGCAATATGGATTTTGATTTTAATTCTCTATAAGTTTAGGCAGTCCATTCATTCACAATATCATTGTTAACAATTAAGAATAATTATTGACAATCATACTGATAGAGAATAGTCAATACTGATAACAGATGTAAGTTTGTTAGGAAAATGAAAAAAAAAAAAAAAAAAAAAAAAATCAAATATTAATGGAACAGAACACTTAAAATTTTTTAACCTTCACCTTGCTGGAACAGAAAGTGCTAAGTCTTTGCTACAAGTATAGAACCAGACCAGTCAGTACATCTGTGCCGTCTGACAAGGTTCTATACTCTTAGCTGACAAGCTTCAAATTTTAATATACATATAATCTTAACTGATTATGTACGGTTCCAAAAAGACGGAAGCTGAACAAGCCAATCAAGATATTCAAAAGGGCAAGGGTTTAACACCAGCTGAAAATAGCAGATACTTGCAACAAGTTCCTTGCCAGACCAGCTTATATATACTAGTACATGCAATCTGGCAAGACTTAAGGTTGTTGGTGCCTTCGTTTTCATATTTTTTGAAATTAAAGTGCCTTAAATGATAATGGACAATTCCTTAATTTACAAACACAAAAATATGGCAGACCGAAGGTTAGCTTGTCACAATTTGAATTTGAACATTGCACAATTCTTTAAAGTCTCTTCGTATATCCGTCTTAAAAGTATTTTCTAGAAGAAAAGTTTTTTTCAGAAGACATTTTGTTGAAGAATGTAAAATATTGACAAGTAGTTAATGTAATAGCTTTTTTCTTTTTCAAATTTCCATATTGTAAGTTCTTTGGACCTAAAAGCTTGATTTAATTCTAAAATTAACTTTGGATCAAAGTCAATTTTCATTCTATAATTAAACCTAAAAAATAAACAATTATAATTGTTTATTTCTGTGTCACTAATTTCAGATTTTAGAAATTCTGAGTTCTGGACACCTTAACTCAACAGTATTAATTTATGTTTAAGGTGTGACAAGGCTGTATCCATTATGATGTAATGAATGATGTCACTGTATGGAACTATGCGAGTGTGTTGTCTGTCATCCCTACAGCTAACTATGATCTATCATCCGTCATTTCTAGGAACTGCGAGTATACATCTCGTGTACACTCTCCTTTCTGGTTGAACACAAACTTATAATAACTGCCATCTGCACACACAACTGAAAGAAATAAACAAGTTTCTGTTTTTATTAATGTAAACATTATATCTTCATACAGGTGAGAAACAAATAGTATTTCTTTTTCTGCAGTTCTTGTCAGGTTTTGAGTTACACTGACACTCTAAAAGGTCACATGGCAATTTCCAACTTTACAAGTGGGTGAAAACCTTGCGTGCCCTTCAGTGCATTATTTCATGCAAGAACAGGAAGCTGAGTAGAACCACAGACTGACTTTTACTAACTTACCAGGATAGCTTCCTTGATTGAAATTATTCCAAGTCTCTGGCGGGATTTATCCCTACATCTATGGGGGCAGGCAGTTCGAAGTGAATAACCTAAATTACTCGGCTATGAACGTTTTTGTGCATGCATTAAATAATGTACATACAAGAGAAAAACAAACATTTAAAAAAATTTTTATGCAATATAATATGTACATGACACTGAAAAACAAACATGAAATGCTCTTTATGTAGACAACAAAAGTACAAACAATTAAAAAACAAACAAGCTAATGTGTATGCAATATGAAGGTACATATAACTCAAAAAATAAGGAAGAGCATATATCTTTGTGTTGGCAATTAAGAGAGAACATAAAACTAAAAAAAAAATGAGAGTTTCTCTTCATACATTCTATAAAAAGCCAATATCAACAATTAAAAAGATTAACAAAATTCCTTTGACTTAAATATTAACATCCTCAACTCTGGATATTTTGGCAGCTGCAAAGACTTTAATCTATAGAACAGAAATTTGTATCAAACAAATTTTGGCAAATTGGCCATTAAACATGTACTATTAACCGTAAATCCCCCCCCCCCCCACCCACGCATAAGCAATTATTTAATGTAGCCTTGAAGCTGACTGCCGGTCTAAATTATTAAAAACAAATCTTAAGTTTTGGATTGCTATTATCATGACCCTTTCTTGTCTCAATTGATTTCTGAAACAATTGGGAACTTGGCCTTAATACAATCTTTCACCATGTAAAGTTGAACAGTTAAGGAAGAATTGCTACTCAATCTTGTTTGTTTGCTATTCTGCTTTTTATGCCGATTTCTACTTGTTTGTTCATATATAATTGGCAGTTGGTACACCACACAAGGTTTCCTGGATAACTAACCAGTAATTACAAATTTCTCCACAAGTGACTGACAAATTATCTCACATGATTTCAGAATCAGCAGTGAGAGACAAATGAACATTAGACTCATTGTCAGAGATCAATTGTTACAGAGAAACTTTGCTTCGCCAGAAGATAGAACCAGGAACCCCTCGAGTACCAAGCCAATGATCTCCATATTTAACGTAGTGGGAAAATGCTTGTCTATCGCATTAGAAATATGAAGTAATTTGCCATAGAAATATGAAGTTATCTGCCATAAAGTTAACCTATCTGAATCTGAACATACAAAATAATTATAAGCAAAATATATGCCCGCTGAGGAGAACAGAAAGTAAAAATATTAAACATTTGTTGTGCTTTAAGCAACACAACATCAACATATTTGCAACTTAATACATGAAGTTAAATAATAGTAAAAAGGAAAAATGAAAGCTCAAAAGATTAGAAGTCAGCAAAGAAAACAAAGAGCAAAGTACAGAGCAGAATTCTTGGATGCTACTAGCCTATAATAACCCTCTGAATGATACCTGCAACTATTTGTGCATATCATACTTGTATGAAGCCAGGTAAGGCTGTAGATACAAACTCTATACTGTTTGCTGCTTGATATAGGTATTTTATATGAACATCCCTTCTTATTGCAATGGACAGTTCAAAGTTCCTATTTTACTTAAGATTTTGCTCTTATAAACATGTATGTTGAATTTGAGTAAATGCGAGTACATTTTTGAAAATATAAAATAGTTAAGACATTCAGCAGATATGCACAAATTTGAGATGTAAATTTTTTGTAAACTGCAGAAGCAACCAGCAATTTATCTAGGAAACATTCCCCCGAAACAATATACATTTGTTATATAAAAGTCATATGGGCTTAAAATTCTCCTCACAATTCTGATAATAGCTAGACAAAGAAGAAAATCTATGAAAATAACTAAAATCTTATGTATAAAGTCAAATTTGTTGAGAAAGTAAAATGAAGGTGTATTCCACCAAACTTCAGATTCTTTGGTTCAGTGCCACTAGGTGAATGATAATATATTTATTTCTGTTATCCAAACTAATGTGATACTGGTTAAGTCACTCACAAAGCAGACAGTGATTTGGCGTGATGAAATCAATACATATGAACCTACAATGTCCCTAATAATAGTAGTTTGAAATTTATAGAAAAAGAAATATGACAGCACACGACTATTCTGTGCTCGACAGTAATTAAAGATGCATAACTGTAAAAAGGTAACTCAGAGTTATTGGACCTGTGCCCATGATGTCAGATATTTGTAGAGAACAAATGTGTGAAGTTTCATTCCATTCCCTTCAGTTGTTTTGAAGACATCATCTTGCATGCAAAAACTTAAAGAAAGTATAACAACTATGCCGATGGAGTACAACAGGTTTTCTATTCTTCAAACAGTCAAACTAAAAAGGAATGAAACATTAAACCCCATTTGTAAGATAACTTAGCTAAGATGACTGTCAAAAACTTAAGGTGAAAGATAAGAAATTGCAGAAACAAGTTTAGAGATACATAAAATCAAGAATATAAATGTTTACATTCTAGCCAGAACCTATGACAAAATTCTTTTCTTACCAACTACTGATTTTGTATCTGAAATCGAACATGCCATAACATTATTATTTGAAATTATATATATATATATACCCATTTTCTTCAAAATATTGATACATTTTGATATTTTATTGATGTATTACTTAGGATCAAAACAACCCTATGTCACCAGGATAAATCTAGGCCAGCTTGCACATCCATGCAAGGCTGATTCTGTTCTATATGGGTGGTGGTGTTGATAGTTTTCACTCTGGATCATGGCAGTATGCTACACTGAATTTACCAGAGCACAGTTCAGCCCACACATCATTCCTGGGCAGGCTGTTAAGCAGTTTACCTGTACCAGATTGCCTTCGCATTTTAGCTAGGAATTGAAAACTTCTGTACATGCCAAGGCAGAGGTACAGTGCGCATGACAGTGGAAAAGATTTCATGATCAATTGCAATTAAATTGACCTGCACCATCCAGGAATCGCCTGATTCACAGTCTAATGCTGTACCTATTGAACTAACCGGACGGCTTATGTTCTATGTTGTTGGACGGCTCAAGTTTTGTATTTTACAATTCAATATTTTTTCCAATCAATAACCAATTAAAGTTTGACGGTCCTTCATTTAAAGCTGCATTTTATATATATTTCATAAAAACAACATTTCCTAATAATAAAACGGGTATCCCATTGACTCTAGTTCCAGACTACCAAAATGAGTTTTATAAGTATATAAGTCTGCAAACTCCCTGTGGCAGAATTATAAGTACAAATTCTTTTCCCAGGTTATTGGCATGGTCAGGCTACTATATACTAACATTTCCATGCAATATTTACAAACTCTATACTATTAGCGCTCTAATTTTAGTATGTTGTTAATGAAAGCCCCATAAACACTTAGTGGAAAATTCATAATAAACAAGCAAGTGCAATACACAAAGTCAGCAATTTTAAGGGTTAAGCTGAAAATGGAAAATAAAATTTTTCACTGTATTGAAAGTGGTACAGATTGTATAAAAGCATACATACCTATCACAGAATTACTATCTGACCCAAAGGCACACATACAGTGAGCACCCCCTGGTACCTGGAACTTACAGAAACTCCATTTTGAACTGAAGTATTTAGGTAGGAAACCAGCCCCTGCTAAACTGTAATACAAAACATAAATATGAATTAGTTCAGTTTTAACATACATAATCATTTAGAGTTGATTGTGAAAGAAATTCTTAAGATTTAAATTTAGACAATTTTAGAAATTGGATTTTAAACTTTTAATTTGTACTTTCTACGTAGACAAATACCTTTTTATTAGCATGAACATACAGATTATCAAATTCCTACAAATCAAAAGTATGCAGAGATCTGCCGAGGACGCGATTTTGCGCCATTGGCGCTAAAAAAAAGAGAATGGCGCAGGAAAATCGGCAGCAAAGGGCCATGGGCGCATCTAAAATCTGTGGCAGACTTATAAGAAAACAAAACAGTCTGCTGGTTTATTTAGTCATCCAGTCAAAAGTAGTACCAACAGCAACATTCCCCTGTAATTACGCATATTCTTGAGTTTATCCATTCCCCTATAGCTTTTGTCCATGTTATCTATTTACCGCATTTCTTCTCATAATTCCTTTCCCACACAGATACTCATTTCTACTACGTAAATTTAATCCAATATAACAAACAAATTATACAACTACTTAATATTTAAAATGATTATCGGTAGGAACAATTCAATGGATAATGCACAGTATTAGACATTAGAAGTAAGAACCAGCAATTATGTGAATTAATTTGCATATCAAATTTTTGAGCAGCCATTTAAAAAATATTTTGCCTGCAATTAATATTAGTTAGAAAGTTACCATGTACTAAGGCATAATTTTTAATTATTGGTTAAGTACTGAATCATAAGTGAACCACTTGTCATAAAATATGATTTAAGTTTTATTACCAGGGAAATTCAATTAACTACTTTTAACTTTTTAACAGTTATTAAGGTCAATGTTTACTTATTTGCCCAAGGCCCATACTTTGGTAAAAATGGCCCATCATTTTCAGACCAAGTGGGCCCAGGGCCCAGTACTTTCAAATTTTTGGCAGATCTCTGCAGTATGTATTATTCACTGATAATATACACACATCTTAACATCATAATTGTTCAAACAGTGACACCTGTGATTAAGACCACCTCCAAATAAAGACCATCTTGTAAATAACAAGAGCTGTCTGTAGGACAGCACGCTCGACTATTCTTAGTGCTTGATAGTAAAAGAGCCTTGATAATGATAATTTTTTTAAGTTCACAAAAGGGCAATTTTTTTTTTATAAATTCATGTTATAGGCCTTACAGAGAGTCTAATTATACAGTATTGGCTTGACTATTCGGAAAGTAATGTCACAAGGGTGTTTTATTGAGTATAATAATACTAATTACCTATCAGATTACATAAATTTGACAGACAAGGTACAAAGGCTTGTTATTAAGATGTTTTATCAAGTAAATCACTGCTTTATTATTATGAATGCATAAAATTGTCCCAAAAAAGGCACAAACCCTTCAGTAGTTATTGAGATAACAGCTTACAAACAAAACTTTACCATGAATTTCTAAGTTGCAAAAAGGGGAGAAAAATCAGCCTAAATGCAAGATAGAATTTATGGATCTTTGTCAGTGACCTACAATTATGACCCTAAATGCATATGTGAAGTTTTAAATAAATATCTGTAATAGTTATTGAGATATGTAAAACTTGCATGTAAACATTAACCAAGATACTTAGTAGAAAAGGGGATATGAATCAGCCTTAATGCAAAATAGAGTTATGGAACTTGGTCAGTGACATACAATTATGACCCTCCAATTATGACCCTAAGTGCATGTGTAAAGTTTTAAGTAAATATCTTTGAAGACCTTTAACCTCAACCAAAATTTCTAAAGTTTTCAAAGGGGCAAATAATTCTGCAAAATATTGCAGGCAGAGTTATGCAATTTTTGCAAACTGATGTACATTGGTTACTATAAAAAAAGTATTTTACATTTCAATTGAATATCTCAAGCAATAATTGAGATATTTGACTTTACAAAAAAACTTTAACCAAAAAATTTCTAAAGTTAAAAAGGGGCATAATTCTGTCAATATTGTAGGCAGAGTTATCCAACTTGTCAATCTGATGTACGCTTGTTACTATAAATAAGTATTGTAAGTTTCAATTGAATATCTCAAGCAATAATTGAGATATTTGACTTTACAAAAACTTTAACCAAAATTTCTAAGTTAAAAAGGGGCATAATTCTGTCAATATTGTAGGCAGAGTTATCCAACTTGTCAATCTGATGTACCTTGTTACTATAAATAAGTATTTTAAGTTTCAATTGAATATCTCAAGTAATAATTGAGATATTTGACTTTACAAAAAACTTTAACCAAAATTTCTAAGTTAAAAAGGGGCATAATTCTGTCAATATTGTAGGCAGAGTTATCCAACTTGTCAATCTGATGTACCTTGTTACTATAAATAAGTATTGTAAGTTTCAATTGAATATCTCAAGTAATAATTGAGATATTTGACTTTACAAAAAACTTTAACCAACGCAGACGCCGACGCGGACGCCGGGGCGACTACAATAGCTCTCATATTCTTCCAATAGTCGAGCTAAAAACTGCTCTTCGTCAAACCTTCATTGATAAAAATACAACAGAGTTAACCTTGAATAAAGACCACCTGTCTATAAATGCCATGTATGGTCTCTCCTTCAGATGGCCTTTATTCACATGTTTGACTGTATATTGTTTACCTTGACTGTTTGTTCTTTTTTGCATCTTCTGTTGAAAATATATGAACAGTTCCATGATCACTGGACACACACAGTAGCGTGGAATCCTGATTAAAATTTATACTGAAAAATAAAAAGAATCAAATCATTTAAAATCTGGAAATAAAACACATTTACTACATTTCAAAATGGGTACAGAATTCATGCACATTAAAAGAAATGTATTTTTTAGTTTTGGAAGATATGATATATGCATACATGTAAGTATGTTTACAAGTTACACTAACTTTAAAGATGGGAGGATTTTACCTATACAGGGTGTGTTTCAAACTCATAAAGAAATACACACAGTATGCCAGGAAATCAATTTCCTAACACAACTGTAATAGTTCTTATTTATAGAATCTAAGGAGAGCTAGTTTAGTGATTTCTCATACTTTATAACCTTTTAAACTTTTAAATTACAAACTTACCAATAAATATTTGCATGATTAGCTCCCCTTCTCAACTCATGGAGCTGCTGACCATTACTAGTGTCAAATACTCGAATTAATGTGCCCTGAAAATACAGCCAAACTTATTGCGAAATATGCTAAAAATAGTAAATTACATGCATATAAACATATTTGTATTTTTCTTAAATGAATGGCAAAAATACTATTGCAGTCTTGACTTTTATAAAGCTGGAACAAAAACTTCAAAGGCTTTGCTACCAAAACAGAGCCTTGGTTTACATAAAATGCCTTCATCATGTTTTCATACAGACAAAGTTTGTGACATCATTTCCTTTTTTGAAAGTAGGGTGTAATGATACATTAGCCACATCATATGATATGTAATGAGACACTAAATTGATGATACAATAAATATTTAAAAGCAGAGCGCAACCAGATTATTTTACAGTTAATGCAAACAGGATTTTAGTTACTACCTGTAAACGGAGACATTTTTCATGCCAAAAAGAATATTTTCCTCATCTAAGATACATAAACTTCCCGATTGCTGATCTGGATTTATGTTGTTGATTTTCTTTGAAAATGTATTTTTATTACAAAGGAATTCCTTTCAGTTACTTATACAAGACAATATGAATATAAACTAATAAAGACAGTCACTATAAGTAGCAACTATTATTTATTTAATATGAGTTCAGTAGTTTCTCTAAAATTAGATTTTTTACGGTGCATTTTTCCCAATTCCATACTTTTTATGATGCATTTTTCCCAATGCCTCCAGTAAGTAGCAATCCCAAATATTGGCCAAAATGTTGCTAAAAAAAATGGGAAGTTAAAAACACATTAACTATTACTAGTACTTTTCTAGGTATGTTTGACATATTTTTTAATGAAGCGATTTAAGAGTACCTGAAAATGCATTTTTTTTTACAGTTGTCTCCCTTGATCCTTATTTTAGACATTACTCTGCCATACCATAAAACCTATGGTTTCTGCTTAACTTTTTAACCAAACATGGACTTGACAATTTTGCTAAATCATTCATTAAGATTCCATTACACGCTTAATATGAAACACTTCTCACCTTTTCTGATGACGTTGCAATTCTTGTTCCCTGAAGATTGAGAGCCATACAGCTTAAAGAGGCCTCGTGCGCGTCTATATCTAAAGGTGATTTCTCCGTGTTTGCTAGATCTACTACTTGTACATGACCCATTTTACGGCCAGGGAATGTGAGCAGGGAGTTATTACTGTTTGGACACATGACACATAAACCTGAAAAATTAAAGGGAAAATTTTCATTTTTAATCTTTCCTACTTTTCAATTCAATATTATAGTCAAAATAAAGACTAGAATTGTTTTATTATGAAATCCTCAGTTTTCAATATTTCAATGTCTTACTTCATGTAAAAACAAAAATTGATACATTCCTGGTTTTTCAAATATTATAGTATTGAAAAATCAAACAAATTTAGATGCTGATATGATTCTATAGATTTTCCAAATATTGGAGAAGTAAGTTTGCTTTATGTAACTACTCCTTTATTAAAGAAATTCTTGGTCAAATGGAGTATAAATTATGTCTTATATCTATATATCATGTTAATACTATGCTCTATAACATTTAACCTGCTGACTTTCTTAAATGGACTTGTCCAGCTTCCATTTTGGAACTGCCCATTATTTTTGGGGATCTCAAGATAAAAATTTGAAGTAAGCCAAAAGTATAGAGCCTGGTCAGACTGCATGGACGTGCAGGCTGGCCTGGTTCTATACTGGTGGCACTTTCGGTTCCTGCAGTGAAAAGTTTAAAGAGACTCAATTTTAGCTTTTTTTACTAAACAACCAAAAACTTTTTCCCAAACATTTTTAGTTTTTAAATTTGGGGTTTTTGGCTCAACTTGTATGCATATTTACTCCATCACCTTTTTTCCGGACTAACAACTTTTATTGTGCAAAATCACCCAAAAATAAAAAGCATTACAATGCTTGTCACTCAGATAGGACTAAGATTTGCACAAAAAAATTGATATTCAATTTAATTCTGAGTATACTTCTTTATTATTCTTTGCAGAGTTTTCCATTTTTAAGGTTTTCACTTAATCTTTGTAAGATTTTCAAATTTTATTTTTTTAGCCTTTTTGACCTCAGTGAAGCTCCTTTAAATGTTGCCTGTTATAGTTAAATTCAGTAGAAAATTTACCTCTAGTATTCTGACAGGTTTCAAACACATGTAGCTGTTGAGGATTTTGTGTAAATGTATAAACTTTGATCATTGTATCTAGCACCACTACAATTCTGAAACATAGCAAATAAAATCACCATAGCAACAGAAAAATTAAGAACAACTTCACAAGTTACTGGTTTCACAAATTTAAATGTTAGAATATATAATAAAACCTTCAGTGTTCAATGCGCATAATATATATATCAAGGTGAACCAAAATCTACCGAGTATGTCAGTATATAATGACCCTATTTTGCTGTGTACATAAATACTGTACCTTATGCTATTGATTTTAAATAAATCTCTTTTTTGCCCCCGTTATTTGGGAAATCAAAATTGTGGCTTTTATAAAAAAAAATACCATTTTTATGATTAAAAAGCTTCAACTGAATTTGTGAACAGATGCCATTTTTTCACATTTCGTTGGTGGTCTTTGTCACAAGTTCCACTGTAGCTTCATATATAAAACACTAGTATCTCTATTCTTTCTTTTATATTTTATGGAAAGAAAACATTACAGACAACTGTTTTAAAGTGACAGCGACTCTGTTAAGATCATATGGTGGATTTCAAGCATAACAGGTGGAGGGCGCCATCGACTCACTAGTGTTTTCAATAATAAAAACCCGAATCTTGAATCCTATGTACCTGTCTCTCCTTAATCTAACACTTTTGACTTCAGTAGAGAACTCCAGCTCTATAACATGTTTCTTCTTTAAATCATCCCAAACCATCACTAAAATAATATAAAGATACAAATATTGGTGAAAGACAAATGTTTGACAATATGTAATATTCTAGATGTTTGTTTGTTTTGTAGGAATTAAAGTCACATCGACACAAGTCATATGGTGACTTTCCAGCTTTACTGGTATTGGAAGACCTCAGGTGCCCCTTTGTGCATTATTTCAGGTGCTTTCATAAGCTAGCTGGATGACTTCCTCACATTAAAGAATTGAAAATCCCTGATAGGATTCGAACCCACAGAGGTGAGGTGAAAGTGATTTGATGTCAGAGACCATAATCACTCAGCCAAAGAGGCCAAATTTTCTAGAAATAATGTAAGTTGAGATAAAATAAACTTAAATAGTAATATGACCAAACAAAATTAATAAGGAACAAGCATAGCGTTATTCAAAATGGCAATGCTAGCATTCATATTAATCATGTAAACTTTGCCATCCTCAACAAATTTAAGGAAGGAACTAAATTAGTTATACAGTAACTTAACCTTTACCTTAATTGACTTTTTGATTTCTTAAAACAACAGAGGTCAACTGTCTTCTTCATAGGTCATTTATATACCCTATGATGTTTGTAAAATGTATATCCTTTAAATCTTCAATTATTGAACAAAAGTGCAGAGGTTTCATGAAATAGGAAGACATAACGGGAAACCGAAGGACATTTATATAAAATTTACTTGTACATTTCCTTCATCTCTTCCAAAGTGCATATACATTGTAAAGTTAATGCTTTTGGACAAGAGTTCATAGTGGCATACATATTTTATGAAAAAGATCAGACTTAGTCACTACAGTTAAATATATCTTCCATTAAAATATTTCTATTACACTGTAAAATCATTTTATAAATAATTGTCAAGATTATCAAGTGTTTATTACTGAACATACAATTTATATGTGTCAAGTGGCTTATCTGTAGAAATGATGAATCAAGATCATACATTACATAAAAATTTATGTTTTAAAATGGAGAAAAAATTTTAAGGAGCAGGGTTTGCCATAAAAAATTTAAAGACAGGGGGTTAAAAAATGGGCTTTTCCCAAACTTTTAGATTTTGGGGGCTTTTTTAAAGTTTTTACTATTGGGGGCCCCATATCCCAAAAAATGAATGTAGCAAAAGGGAAAACCATATTAAAGATTTTTTGTTCATTTCCTTTTTTGTAAATAGGGATCTTTTCACAAAAAATAAAATAAAGAGCTTTTAAACTTGGTTTTCTTGGGAATTTAAAAAACCAAAAAATACAGAAGATCAAATTTTGTTAACACAAAAAGTTACCAAATAACCATTAAAGAAAGAAACTTTTAAAATGGTATGCAAGTGTTAAAGGGGGTGGGGTAAATAGGGAGATTATTTTTTCACTTAAGAAAACCCCAAAATTAAGATAAAAAATTTTCAATCAAAACAAATTGCTACAAAACATAAATAATATTAAAAATAATTTCCCATTTATTTTGGGAAAATTTTTTATGCCCGGGCAAAAAATGTTTTTAGACAATTCTTGGCTAAGAATCAAACCTCTGACCTCTAAAATCAAGTGGGCATTATTGGCTAAAGACAATAAAGTGCTAAAATGCTTGCTGCCAAAATACTTGACAAAAATTTATATGAAATAGTCTTACACATATTTTTTTGTTTTTATAGTGGCATGGGAAACATTTGGAGCTATTTTACTAGATGGTGTAGCAAATGACTGAAGTGGAAAGTTACAGTGTGTTCATTGATCAGGCTGAAAAGTAAGTACTTAGGCTTTCATTGCTGAGCAGAGTATAAAGATTAACTTATGACACTATCCAAATACATTACAAGGGTATAATGATCTGAATAATTTTTAAAATATACCTTTGTTTGGAGGGTATCTTGGATTCTTTCCACCACCTACCAAAGCTAGGTAATTACATCTGAACAACATTTCAATATGACCAATACCCCCATCTGTAAAATCCTGTCTTTCTTTCTCCTTCAATGGGTCAGAATTATACACTCTAAAGCCAGTCTCCATACCACATGCAAAACATCCTAAAATAATGCAGATAAAAGTAAATATATGATTTTGTTACATTTCCAGCTATATTTAGGAAATTGAATAAAGGCTAAAGAAATAATTCTTTCTAAAACATATAAATGAAACTCTTCAAACTTGTTTACTCCAGACCTTGATTTCATGAAAAATTATTGATAAAATTGCCAATTTGGGAATTAAAAAAACTGGTTTAAGATCAGACTTTTTTTGTAAAGCACGATTTCAAAGAAAATTTCCATTGGGAAAGCCTTTTATATGCTTCTGTTATGTAAGGTGAAAACTCAATGTCAGGTGAGGATAAGGATGGTGTCAGCAGTCCAACTGTCTTTGAGATAAACTAGTTTAGAAACTACAAGAAATGATCTTAAAAAGTTCCTACAATAAAAAAAACCTGAGCTATCGTGCACATTGCCCTATGAATATGTTCAGGGCAATGTTAAGAACAATATTTTATGACATCTTTCACCATAATACATGTAGTTCATGAAGTAAGTCTAACAAGTAAGTCTAACATAACATCTTTGTAAGAAATACATTCAGTGTTTATAATTAATGAAATGTTTGTGACAGCTACTGCTTTTCCAGGTTCTCATTGTAAGATTTGACCTCAGTCCACTTACAAGCTTCAGACAAAAAATTAACTACAGTAGATCTAACTATTTTTAAACCATATGATTTAAGTACAAAATATGCCATGGCCAATTGGCCGTGCTCTGCCTATGAGAATGCTTGATTTACCTCCATTTTCTGGAACAGTTAATTCCCGTACCTTCCCAGATTTTTAACATTATCATCCGAAACCTATAAAGGCCGGAAGACATGGTGTCCAAATTCAATGGCATATTCCCATTTTCCCAGATACTATGGGAACTCTATTCAAGACATGTGAACAAGTCACAACAGTATGCAAAATTTAAAAAAAACTGACTAAGGGTTTGCAAAATAAAATGAACCATGCTGTATACAACGAATCCGTGTCAGCTCGGCCCTAAAACATACTCGGCCCCCGAGTCAGCTTGGCCCTATTCCAACTCGGCACGGGTCAACTCGGCCAACTTTTAAAAATGGGTAAATGACATCAAAGGACTCCTATTGTCACGGGCTATTATTATCAATCAATGTGTATACTGTTAAAGATACCGATTAATTAGGTGATAATTATGATTGACTCATTCATTCAAATTTGATTAGTGACCACCTGAAATTAATTAGAAGCTTATGCTATTAAGTAAACACGTTTTTGTTTCATATTTTTTTGAAAATTACTTTACAAACAAAATGCATCTAAGGAAACACATGTTTATTATATCCATATTCACAGGCACAAGTATCGGACCTGGGAAGAAAAAATATGAAGTTATTTTATCAATCTGTTCATATTTTTTCTTCCCAGGTTCGATAATCGTGCCTGTGTCTATATTAATTTTATCGAATCTGCAAGACAAATAAATAACTTTTTTTTCTAAATATACTTTATTTCAGCAGAGGTACAATGTATAATTATATTATAATAATAATAATTATATAATAATAATAAGATATTTCTTATTATTCATTTACCTTAACAAAATGCAAAGCAAAGTAATTACGTTATAGGCCTATATATTTTTGTAATGTGGGCTGAGTTGACCCGTGCCGAGTTGGTATAGGGCCGAGTTGACTCTTTTCCTATACAACTGCATATGAATAAGGGGAGTGACTCATACAACTCCCAGGTGTTTGTTTCTTATCTTGCTCTTCTGTTAAACCCTGGATAATTTACAAAAAGGTGTATCGAATAAAAAAAAGATAAAAATTGGTTGTAAATGAATGTTTGTAAGAAGAAATATTAATGATGTAAAATTTTTCAAAGTTATTGCAGAAAATGAACTAGGCTCACTTTTTGACAATTTGTCAAAAGTAAAAACACTGAAAGGTAGTTCACATGAATGTCATTTATTTCACCTTGGTCCTGATTCCATCCTGCATATAATAGACCATTTCCATAGGTGTTTGTGCTGCTTAAATTCATTACGCATTTGTAAAAATTCACGCCTCCTTTTTGATAAACATTCGAGTTTACTTCAGTCCAACTTTCACTTCCGGGTTAAAGATTTTTTGAATAGTCTCTAAATAGGTTAAATTCATCAAGAGAATTTTTACTCCAATTGACATAAAAATAATTCAAAAAATACAAATAACAAATATTTAAAACTTTTTAAAAGGATTTAGTTAATATTTGTTTTTTATTCTCTCAAAAGTCTTTGAATAACTTATTTATTTGATTCAATTATTTTGGTACGGATACTTTAATCATGGCTGCCACGAACTTTAGCCGTTGTATTTTAAGTCGTATTTTGCTAAATAATGGTAGAAATAACGTATTTAAATACACGACAGCTCATGCAAGATGTATGTCAACACGTAAGTTTTATTAAATTTACATTGTCATAAGATGACATTTCATGACATTTGGTTTATTCATTATTTTCTGACATGCAGACAAGGTCGCAGGTATTCTGGGTGCAGGTCAAAACGTACACAATGGAATTGTGTCATGATTTTGTTGGATAGAAAATTGTGACAACATTCATAAACTAATCAGAATGCATCACATGCAAGTTAAACCCGAAATAAAATTATAATATGTATAATCAACAGATAAATACTTGAAATTTTGCAGTATAAATGGAAATCAAAGAATACTCTGGCACCTTGTTATACATTGCCTTGTTGTATTGTATACCATACCCTTTAGACTATATGTATGCACATTAATAATGTGTCTGTTCAACTATAATTTACTGTAAACTCTTGTTCATTGTCAAAAGAAGAAGGGTTTAAAAAGGGCTCAGTCCTTCCTTCAGAGCCCAGAATCATCCTACAGGTACATGTATCCTACAGGCGTGCTAGGCAAGTACAATAAACAATGTTATAAGGACACCCATGGATGCAGAAGGTGTGAAAACATGCACAGCTTAGTTTTAGTCAGCTCTATAGTTCATTTGGACTTGTTATAAGTTAAAAAACTAGAATTCAAAGTCGGACATGGAGGGATTGAGTAATTACATTTAATAATTTCCATAATTTTGACCTGTGTTGGTGCTACTTCAAATCCAATAATAATATGAAATAAGGTGCTACCTATGTCGCGGAAAGCTCTTATGTAAACCAGATCTTTCTTGACATAAAACGAATAATTTGGTGGTGTTCAGCCTATCATCGGAGCGCTCGGAATATTCCGAAAATCACCGAACGTAACGGGGGACCTCTGCGCATCCGTCGGCGTTTGGAAAATCCCGTCCGCCATTTTGGTAATCTCTAATCACATCGTGTTTTAACGTTATTTTTAATGTACTAATTTCTCAAAAAGGATATGTTAAAGTAACTTTTTATATTTATAATCGTAACTATAATTCTTATCAATGAAATGCAGCTTTATTTTCTGAGTTTGTACATCATTCTTTCACCGGAAGTGTTACTTAGAATGCGTCTGCTAGCAATAGTCTGAATCATGTGGACGCTCATTAAAAGCGCTCTGATATCTATATTTAGCTCAAAAGGATTTCAAAATGGCGGCGCCCAGTTAACTAAGGATTTTTTCACAGCTCATTAGGTATAGGATATATATTTTTTTGAAATTTTCATTTAGTTTGAATTTGATTTCATTTGAATTGATACGCGTCATACATGTTATCTAAGAGCGCTACAGCCCTCGCGGGGCCTTTGGCCCCGCTCGGACTTTCCGCGTAATAATAATAAAATCGCAATTTGAGGTCTTGGAACCTAACTTTATTTTTATTACATGGTGCCAGTAACATGTCTTTCTCTTTACTGTTGATATGACATCTGGTCTTTTCATAAGGAAATCTGTCAACACATTACCAAGTAAGGACATTAGCTGTTACATTTCATTATCTTTAGAACATGTGTCCAACATTAATTTTATACGGGCAAGTATTAAATTTATACTGCGGACATTCAAGTAAAATTTTCTGTCCAACTTGTCTGTATATAACTGGAAATAATCAAATTTCCTCATGGGTCATTCTACTAAGGTATTGTCCAAAATGTGGCACATCTTGTCAGAATGTTAAATAAACAAAGTAGCATCGGTTTAATGTCTTGGATATATATTTATTCATAAATGATAATAAAATATGTGAACCCTATAAATTTAATTAATCATCTTGAATTACTAAAATTCAAGATCAGAGAAAAAAGTTAATTTGATTTATCATTTTTAAATGATCATTATGTTTAGTTTAAATGTGTGAAGTCTTAGTCTTTTTATTTTGACAATAGATTTGATATATTTTTATACAAAAAGCTCTTATCTTTTTTACAGAAGGAGAATTTATAATCACAGAAAAGAAAGGTGCAAAACAAAATGTTGGTTTTATCCAGTTAAATAGAAGGAAGGCGTTGAATGCACTATGTGATGGATTGATGAGGGAAGTAGAGGATGCAATCGACAAATTTGAAGCTGATGACAGTATTGGATGCATTGTTCTCACAGGCGGGGAAAAGGCATTTGCTGGTACACAGTTTTTGAATACATAGTTTATATAGATTGTTGAAATAAACTTGATTAGCCTGTGCTAGTGGCCACCTAAGCTACATGTTAAATAGACAAATGAACAACTTTTTGTGATGTTATGCTTGTAAGGGAACTGAACATGTAATGAAGCCCTTCTATCAATTGTTAAAATGAAAATTGTCAAGGCAAAACATGGAAAAACATAATTTCGTCACAGGAACCAGTATAGCATTTATTAGCTCGAGTATTCAAAGAATAGGGAGAGCTATTGTACTCACCCAGTGAGTGTCATTGTCGGCATAACACATTGGTTAAGTTTTTTGTGTACAAGTTGATATTTCCAGAACTACCGAAGGGAATGGGTTGAAACTTAAAACATTTATTTGAGAGCATAATAGGTCACCATCCAAGTCTCACAACAGCTGTTGATATGACATTATTTTACTGATATGACATTATTTTACAGCTGTTGATATGACATTATATTACAGCTGTTGATAGGACATTATTTTACAGCTGGTGATATGACATTATTTTACAGCTGTGATATGACATTATTTTACAGCTAGTGATATGGCATTATTTTACAGTAGTCAAAATAAATTTACGTGCCAAAGCTTCATTCTGAGATATTTTCGTTCTGGGGCAGAATCTCGCTAGAGGCGAGATATTGCCCAGACACGAAAATAGCACAATATCTCGTCGCGCAGTACAATTAGTTGGACTATATTTTACAGCTGGCGATATGACATTGTTTTACAGCTGGTGATATGACATTATTTTATCAGTGATTTTTCTCACTTAATTGAGAAGATGCATTAGCCTCTTGTTCTTGGGGGAAAATATCGCTCAAATTGCTAATTTGGGAAGAAAAAAAGCTGGTTTAAGTTCAGATCTTTGGGAAAACTGCATGATTTTAAAGAAAATTCCAATTGGGAAGAGGCCTTTTATGGCAGTCTGTTATATAAGCAGGAAAATCACTATTTTATTACTCTTGATATGACATTATTTTACAGCTGATGATATGGCATTATTTTACAGCTGGTGATATGACATTATTTTACAGCTGTGATATGACATTATTTTACAGCTGTTGATATGACATTATTTTACAGCTGGTGATATGACATTATTTTACAGCTGTTGATATGACATTATTTTACAGCTGGTGATATGGCATTATTTTACAGCTGTTGATATGACATTATTTTACAGCTGGTGATATGACATTATTTTACAGCTGTGATATGACATTATTTTACAGCTGGTGATATGACATTATTTTACAGCTGGTGATATGACATTATTTTACAGCTGGTGCTATGACTTTATTTTACAGCTGGTGATATGACATTATTTTTACAGCTGGTGATATGACATTATTTTACAGCAATGATATGACATTATTTTACAGCTGGTGATATGACATTGTTTTACAGCTGTTGATATGACATTATTTTACAGCTGGTGATATGGTATTATTTTACAGCTAGTGATATAATTATATGACATTATTTGAAAGCTGATGTTATGACATTATTTTACAGCTGTTGTTATGACATTATTGTTCAGCTGGTGATATGGCATTATTTTACTTCTGTTGATATAAAATTATTTTACAGCTGGTGATATGACATTATTTTACAGCTGTCGATATGACATTATTTTACCGCTGGTGATATGACATTATTTTACAGCTGGTGATATGACTTTATTTTACAGCTGGTGCAGACATTAAGGAGATGAAGGACAGAGAGTTCTCTCAAGTGTTTAAAGGAAATTTTCTCTCATACTGGAACAGGCTGGCAGCCTGTAACAAGCCTGTTATTGCAGCTGTGAATGGATTTGCTGTAAATATTGTTTCATTTTGTTACAAACTTCCTCTTCTCTAAAATGTATCCGCAATCTTAAAATCCTCGTTAATATGTTTATTTAAAACCAGTTCATATCAAAATGATGAGTTTTGCTTTCAAAAGCCTGTGCCTAAGGGGGCATGAACAAGAGCTTGCAGTCACAACTAGAAATAATGAACACATCCCGGAATTAAACCCAATCACACAGTTTAACTCCCAATTTCACTTCAGACGTGTAATGTAGCTGATTTGTGTTTGCTGTTCTCAAATCTTAAAAGAATATTAAACCTTCTTAAAGTTTTACCATTTGTTTTCAAGTGTGTTATTGTTAGTTACTGATATATTTCAGTTAGGAGGTGGTTGTGAAATTGCAATGATGTGCGATATCATATACGCAGGAGAAAATGCCCAGTTTGGACAGCCAGAAATTACCATAGGAACCATACCAGGTGAGATTATTTTATACAATAAGATAGAAATATTTGTAAATCACTATGAGATAGGTCTATATTTTAGTAACTGTGTATTCTGACAGAAAACTCTAGTTTTTACATATAGATTATTAAAGGTTTCTGAAATTTTAGTTATTAGATAGACGAATGTTAGTAAAATTTTAGTTATTAGATAGACGAATGTAAGTAAAATTTTAGTTATTATATATAGACAATGTTTGTAAAATTTTGGTTATTAGATAGACAAATATTAGTAAAATTTTGGTTATAAGATAGTTGAATGTTAGTAAAATTGTACAGTTGTTTCAACAGTTGGTCAACCTTTGTGACTATAGCATACACATGGAAAATTTACATGATTCTTGAGTGCTTTAAAATAATAACAAGATTTGTATATACATTTCAGGTGCCGGAGGTACTCAGAGATTGTGTAAAGCTATAGGAAAATCCAAGGCAATGGAAATGGTACTTACTGGTAACAGAATTAACGCACAAGAAGCTGAAAAAGCAGGTACAACACTTTACAATATATATGTGGCTTATAACTTATTAAAGTTGGCAGAAATTGGTTGTCTCCCCCTAATTTACAAAGAAAAAGAATAATATTGTCCTATTGGCTTAATATTGTGATATTTATATACATGATTCAGTTTTGACTGTTTACCAAGTTTGTTCAAATGATTCATGATAAATTTCAAATTACAGCCATTTCGGGCTGGTTGACTTTTCTTTTAAGTCTGTTAAGAAAACCTTAACAGCACATTCAGCCTGTCTCAAAAATGAATGAATTTTCTTTTTATTAGAAAATGTAAACATCTGCTTTATGATAATGAATTTACGGGATGTAAAATGCTAATCACCTGAAGGAAACATCATTGAATGTGAAATAATTTGTAATAAAGGTTGCAAAATGTAAACAAAGTGGTATTTTGACTTTCATACAAAATCATTACAACTATAGATGCAAAAGAAGGAAAAGATGACCAAAGAGAAATGATTTTGAAACTGTAACACAACACCAAAAATGAAAAGCTTTTTTTTTAAACAAAATATATATAATATTTTCAATGGCCTTTAATAAATATCATTATATATGAATTATTAAGAAATGAGTACCACTGAAGTGGTTGAGCACTTACTATTTGCACTTTTGGTCTTCATCTCACCTGAAAGTCCATTCTAGTTTGCAAGGAGAAACTATATTCAGCTATCATCATTAGACCTGTGGTTCTACTTAGTTGTCCCCTCCTACCTTAAGTAAAGCATTGAGGGACATTTCAGGTCCTCCTTCTTTAGTAAAACTGTTAGATTACGAAGTTAGAACAATCAAAACTAAAAAGATAGTCAATCTTATATTCATGGAAAGTATTGTTAACTCAGTAAGCTGATAAAAAATTAAAAATAATACATTCTGTTTATATGCATGAGACATACAGTTTTGTCTTATTTTATTACCGTAACTGAACTATTGCTGTTTCTCTCCTACAGGACTAGTTAGTAAAGTGTTCCCAGTTGACCAAGTTGTTGATGAGGCTATAAAAACAGCTGAACAAATTGCCGGTTTCTCTAAAGTCACTACTGCTATGTGTAAAGAAGCTGTCAATTCAGGTAAATTTTCCTCTATTTGAGTAAGTATTTGATATAAGTAATCTCTAGTATGTAGCCGATGGTGTCTACTTAATAAAGCTGGTACAATGACCATCTTTGCATAATGTCACAGCATTTACATATAAAGTTGTAGACATTAGGCAAGATTTACCAAAAAGATGCTGGAGCATCTGACATGATAAGCACATTTTTAGCTGTAAAACGTGTAATTTTTTGGTGTGTGACAGAACAGGTGGAAAGGTTATTAATGTTTTTATCTGAGTTCTGTCTCAAATCCCAAGATTTTTATTAGTCAGTGGACATTCTGGTGTAAAAATCTCTTAAAACTTTTCCAAATTATAATGAATATTAGTTATTGAAGTAGTTTTTAAGGACTTTTAAGAATTGATAACATTTATTTTCACAGTATCATTTTATGTTACATGTTTATATGCAAGTTCATTTAAATTTGCTTAAATGTTGCATATTTTTTCCAGCCTATGAGATGTCCCTTTCAGAAGGTTTACATTTTGAAAAGAGACTTTTCCACGCAACTTTTGCAACAGTAAGTTTTCAAATATTTTTTTCGCATGAATGGGGATATTTGCAAGGTATTTAAGGTTGATATCTCAATTTTTTTACCTTCACTATATTGATTGTGTTTTGCAATTTATTTTGCTTTCTTATGTCATACAAGAACTCTGCAAGTCGGATGTGTCACTTTGTGGACAGTATAGCTGACACTTATGCAGCCGACAAAAGTAACCCCTATATGTTGCCTTTTTCAAGGCGACACAAAAATTGGTGATATCTCTGTTATTTATTTATGGATTTGATTTATACTTTGGCAAAAACCTTCCTCAACATATCTGATCATTTTGTTTCTTGTCTGAAAGAGGAATCCAGTAAATTTACTACAGCGAACATCACTTCTGTGGTTCAGGTGTTCATTTCCAGTGGAGAAAATGGTCAATGTGCTCCATTTTGTAACAGTTGTGGAGGCCGCCATCTTTGTTTCTAAAAATTAAAAATCTTCCAAGGTCTGTGATAATTGATAATTACTGATAATATCATGTTCTTTTTTGTGTGTTTTTACAGAAAGACAGAAAAGAAGGCATGACAGCATTTTTGGAGAAGAGAAAACCAGACTTTACTGATAGCTAAACACTGAACATTTTGCCATTTTAATGACTGATGATGATATATTAACCAGATAAATTTTTGTGATATATGCTGAAGAAATTTGAGTGAAATATAAATGATATTATACTGTGTAGTTGTGTCAGGGTAATAACATATTATATGTCAAAACATTGTCTTTGTGAGCAAAGGGAGACAATCCTATCAGTGATACAGAATGCCAGTGAGAAACAGTGTATCAGTGAAAATATAATTATATATTTTAACAGTGAGAATCTGATTTAATTCTATGGTTTTATTAAAGTAGAAGTCAGGCCAGAAGTACTGTACTTGTCAATATGTTTTTGATACATTTGTTTTATTGTACTGACTTTGTTAGAATATCATTAGACTTTGTAAAAATACATTTTGATTGTGATTTGTTATAATTATGACTTAATTTGCTGGTTTGATGAGCATAATAATCAATTTGACAAAATACTGTTTTAATAAATTGAATATGCAATAGTTATTTTTTTTTAATATTGAACTGTTCCTTAAAATATTCCATGTTTTAAAATACACATTATTTGCAGCAGAATAATTTGGTAGAAAATATTCTGATGTAATTACATTCAAGAACAAGAGCTCTAGTAGCCTATAAACTTTGCAAATGTAGACACAGTTCCCATAGACGGTTTCATAAACTCACTCAAAGACACCATTAAACTTCTTCAATTTAGTAAAATCAAATGACAACTAAATGATACAATAAAACTTGCAAGAGATTCACACCCAAAAATAGTGATTGTATAGTGATTAGAAAATTTTTGAAAAAAATCGTGCTCTGATGACACCAATTTTTTTTGAAACTTTGATATTTTCTGCCTTTGGCATCAATGTTTTGCCTTCAACGGTGTTAGTTTATGCGTAATTTATTTTATTTCCATTGTGTAGTAAGCTATAAAGCTTATAGAAACATTAAAATCAGTTCATGGAACTTACCAGTACTTAGAAATGAGTGTAAAGTTTCTTGCTCATGGAAACGAAGGCTTACCCTCCGATAGGGGTCTGAACCTATGCGGCCCAGCAATCCTTAGATTACTAGTCCAACCTGTTAACCACTGAGCCATGCTACCACTTATAATGTCCATCTAAGACATAGTTACAGTGAAATGCTATAGAAGTAGTAATTTTTTATTTTGTGAGTGAGGTTTTAACTGCCATTTGACAAAACATAATCCCCACATTAGGACATAGAATTTTGAATAATCAGTTGACCCCTCACTGCATCAAGTTTATCTGAAAACTGTAAGAATAACATAACAACTTGATAGCAAAAATATAAAACTTTTAATGATGGAAAATCTGTGTAACAAGAAATAATTTGCAAAATAAAAGAATTATTAAAAAAAATAATAAAGATACCAAGAAATATACAAAATGGAATGTGATGTAAAAGAATACTAAATACAACATTTAAAAAGTAGTAAACTAAATATAAATGGCACACAATATATGTACAAGATCTATTCGAAAATAAAGCGTATGTAATATAAAAATCAATTTAACATTTTAATATAAAGGCAAAACTACTGTTTTTAAAATGTACAGTGCCACTTCTGCTGAGACCAAGAGCAGACCTGGGGTGATCAATAATGGAGGATATTGAATGAGTGTAAGTTTAATACTGAATTTATTGAACGAGTTGAATCAAATTATATTATGCGAGCCTTTGGCAAAGCATAATGATATTTTATTCAATAAATTCAGTAATGAACTTACACTAATTTAATATTCTATTTATCACATACCAAAAATAAAGACCGTTTGAAGAAAAAAAAGAACCAGTTTTCATTGACGCTCCTATAGTATAATGCTAACATTTTGCGCATGGTCATGCTATGTTTATATAACGCAAATGACATCGCATCAAAATAGGGTTGTGCTTTAATCGCAATCATTTGATTTTTTTTAAAGATTGAATGATTACACTTTTGATTTTTTTTAAAGATTGAATGATTACACTTTTATCATCATGTAATTGATTAGCTTGTCCAAAATTGATTATATAATTGTAATTTAATCAATTACAGTTTAAATTCAGTCAGTAATTATGATAACAATTTGATTGACATTGATTACTATCAGATTTAACAGGAAACTTTTTAAATTCAAAGGATGCCTTTATTTCACATGATACAGTTTAACTTTTGTTTTACAGTTATACATTGAATATAATCAATTTTCAATCAATTACTCTCTTAAAGTAATTGTAATTTACAGAAAACGAATACAGAGGCAAGTCTGCGCAGATGTGCAGGCTGGTCTGGATCCATGCTGGTCGCAAACCCATTATGTTGGTTTTGTCGTGACGCGGCTCATTTCTTCACAAGATAAGACATCACAATAACTTTAACCTCTCTGGAGAAACACCTCTTGGCAACAACCAAAATTTTTTGTCTACTTAATTCTCTTGTTCAGTATTTTTTGAAGTTGTATAAACCTTTACCACACTAAATATCTTAAATGGACTTGTCTGTCTTTTAATCTTGACAAATCCATTTATCATTTTGGGGAAAATAAGTAATATCAGACTCTTATCACTAGGTGACACCTTTATTTTATGACAGACGTGTCAATTTTAGATGGCATGTATTTTAAATTGTAGACAACTAAATATATAACCGTCCAGGTGGATTCCAGATAATTATGCTCTTTGAAAAACTGTTGACAACTGAAATAGCAAATAATGGCTGCTTTTTTTTTTTTTAGTCTATCAAGGTATTTTTAAAGAATATTGAGACATTTTTTTCTTGTGTAATAAAGGTGCAATCAGGGTCTTCAATTTTGAAAGACCCTTGTTTAATGTACAATATATAAAAATAAATAATGCTGAAAATTTATCACAGGCAATGCAACTAAATTTTTTCTAGCAAAAGTACATAATTTTATAATGTTATAAATTTATAAAGAATTTCAAAAATAATTCAAGTGAAGATATACATTCGCATCTTTTGATCCAAGTTGAATCTTGTCAAAATATGGAAAAACAAGTCTATACAAAACAATTTAAACTTCTTGAATGATTGCATGGATAATTGTCAATCTGTTATATATGGATAATTGTCAATCTGTTATATTTAACCCTTAATCTACTAAATGTAGCTAAACATAGCTACACTCACCCACCTCAATCTGAAATATTAATATCCACTCTATACCTAGAAACTAACAATAAACAAAACCTTAAACTGTAGCTATACTATGAAAAATTGTAATTAAAAAGGGGTTTAACTCCAAACAAATAGCTTTCAGATTTATGCCTGACAACTGCACACTGTCACGATAAGCAAGAATTCCAAGTTTCATGTTGATTGATAACTTTTAAAATGATTTAATGATGGGCTACATTAACGTTTTTGCAAATCAAAAATGACGATGACTTTGCAGTGACCATAATAGCTTGAATATTTTTCTTCAAAACAGATAAGCTAAAAAATGATATTGTAATTGACATTTCTCAAAAAATTGGTGTATCAGATCTTTTACAATGTACTTGAAAAAAAAATCAAACAAGGAAAAAATAGAAATGCCGACACTCAACTACAGTGATAACATATTTGATGGCAAGTTAAATCAGATTCGTACATAACATACAGTCGGCATCGTACTTGCGTCCACCTTTATTAAGTGACCTTTTTATTAAGCGGCCGCATAAAATTCCTCCCGGTGATTTTTACTATATAAGTTAATTCCATTAAACGACGATTTTATATCGCGGCCAGCGGCCACTAAATGTCGGCCCAAATGTACAAAATTAAGTGTTGAAGTATCAGTATTAAACGGCCGTGACAAACAATCCTCTCTTCGGGCATTCTCACCTGTGTAATCAGGGAGTAGCAAACAAACAAATATTTTTCATGGTCATTGGTCTTAAAGTATCTATTAAACGACCGTCACAAATAATTGTGTTTTTAAAACAAATTGAATTATAATTGCAATCGTTTCAAAATCGGAAAGAAAGAAACAGTTTTTCGATCGTAATTATTGTGAAGAATATTTTGTCAGAGCAATAACGTATTACAACATCGCATTTGCACAGTTTTTTCATGTGCTCAGAGTGACCTCCCTTCCAGAAAATCAAAACAAAAATGACGTCGGAACGAGCGAAAAAATGACACAAATAATAAGACCGGATAAACTGAATGAGGATATTGTTCATGGAATTGAGTCTGAGTAAATAGCAAATGTCATCGTTTGTAGTCGAAATAAAATTGTGAAACGTAGTGGACTAAACATTACAGAGCCTACGGTGTAGGTGCTCATCTGATGCTTAATAAAATACATGTAGAACCTCATTAAATATGACCCTTCGACAAAAAAAGGAGAAAAAAATCCTAGATCTCTAAAAACCTTATTGAATTTGAAATCGGGGTAGTGTGAAAACTTATTGCTGAAAAATCATGAAGTTTAAAACTCATTGCATGAAAAATTATCTGGAGCTCTGGCTGATGATTCCAAAGTATGTACAACAGGAGATGTGTATGAACATATTCACAATATAAGACAATATGCTTTGTTTCATGATCAAAATGACCTGTTGATAGTATTATGAGCTTAGATCACATTCATACACACATTTCTACTAAAAAAAAACAAAAACAAACACATATTGATAACTTTAAAAAAAAAAAGTTATAAATGTCATTATGAAACTATTAAATATACATAATATTGTACAGTTTTTGTTTTTATTAAAAAGATGTTATTATATCTATGACTTGTAATATAAAAAAGTCTCGAATTTTCCAGAATCCTATTGAGAGACCATTTTATTAAGAGACCACTTTTTGGCAGTCCCTTGAGTGGTCTCTTAATACAATGTCGACTGTATCTTTGGTTTTAAAAATTCTATATAACTATTAACATGGTAACTTAGTGTTAGGAAATCAAAACCTTCAAAGTTCAAGAACAATGTCCTCATAAATAACAACAAAGAAAACAAAAACAGATAAAAGAAACAAAGACTAAAAATTGATCACAAATGTTTCTGTATGAAATAAACAATAAATAATAACCATGTTTGACACACATCTAAAATCTATTCCTCGTTACTATGGTAAACAATGAAATAAGAAAGTCTTAAAAACTATACTGAAATAAACAGTGGTAAATAAATGTCTAAAATCTGTGTGTCTTTGGTAAAAAGTAGTTTACCCTAACAATCATGTATTAAATTTCTTTTTATTGTCTATAACACTATTGTCTGTGAAAAAGTTCAATGTGCAAAGCAAAAGCAATAAATAAAGCAATGTCTGCGGGTAATAAAATAACAAGAATACCAATTACATCTATGAATATCGTCCGATATCAATTTAACACAACCATAACAATAACAAACTTTGAGGAAAATTACAATAAAAAATCTTTTTTTTTTTAGGTGACCTGGGACATCTTAAGGTAGATATCCATGCAAGGTTCCTACAACCAAATATAACAAAAACAGTTCAG